GTGCACAAAGCAAAAGCCATAGCGCTCAGGTGTTCCCAGTCCTTACCACCTGGTTTCTGGATGTTGTGAAAGAAGATTCTACCACTTTGGTTCTGCAGTTTCATCAGTTTCTCATCCTGTGCCCTCTCCTCGAGGGGTTGGCAAAGTTCTTCAAACTCGACATCCAGGGCAGAGCAGTAACCAGTCTGGAAGGTGTCCTTGTGGTGGAGGCTACCTGAGCGGGGACCCTGAGGTATGGCCATGGCTCATCAGCAGTGTCATGGGGTGTGTTCTGAGGGGCTAGCAGGGTGAGTCCCCAGCTCCTTCCACCCTAGCATTGGTGAAGCAAGAAATCGGGCAGCAACTCTCTACACTGTGGTTGGCCCTAGTATTAAATAGCTTCCTGCTGTATATGGGATCATCAAAACCCAAACTCATTGCCGTTGAGTCTATTCCGACTCATAGCAACCCTACAGGACAGAGTAGAACTGCCCCATAGGGTTTCTAAGGAGCAGCTGGTGGATTCGAACTGCTGACCTTTTGGTTAGCAGCCAAGCTCTTAACCACGGAGCCACCAATGCTCCGTACATGAGACAGTCACGGTTAAAAGGTCGCAGCACCACCTCTCTGGCTTCAACATTAGCCACGAGACCCTTATTCGCTCGACCTGACCTGCCTAATGTTTTCTTGGATAATCATGCCAACCAAAAAACATTTAGCTTATATTTAGGCAGTCAGACTTGAATTCTGTTATCAATTGTAAAAACCAGCTTTTAAAAAGTAAACACTAATCCTTACATCTATCCTTTTCAACTTGCATCTAACATATTCTTGAAAAATTTTCAGAGAAATTAATTTTATGACCTATTATAGTGCTGTTTATTTATTATGGTAAAGACCATTCATGTGGCCTAGGCTGCTTTTTGATAAAAATATCCCGAGTTGTGTTTTCTTTACAAAGTAGAATTCATTGTTAATGAGAATGTCAAATGTATCAGTGGCTCAAGGAATGAAAGGGGGAAAAAAGATAATCGAATGTGAGAAAGCAGGTAAGAAGTCCAAAGGAGGAGGCTGAAGAAATCCAGTAGAATTCTGAAAGGTAGAGGCATGTATAGAAACAATGTGTTTAGACTTCCGATTACATAGTTAAAGGGAGAACAAATTAGTAGAAGGGAACAGGCTCTTGTCTATCAAAGTAAAAATACCTGCTATCCATAGGATGAAGGTCAGGAATATATTCTGTTAATAAAGGTTATTCTGTTCATTAAAGACCAAAAGCAGGACTTCACAAAGCCCTCTAAAGTTGATCATTTAAAAAAAAAAAAAAAAAAAGCCTTATGGGAGCCCTGGTGGTACAGTGGTTAAGAGTTTGGCTGCTAACAAAAGGTCAGCAGTTCGAATCCACCAGTCGCTCCTTGGAAACCCTATGGGACAGTTCTACCCTGTCCAGTAGGGTCACTATGAGTTGGAATCGACTCGACAGCAATGGGTTTTTTTTTAACAGGTTATAAAGCTTTAAAAATTTTGAAGGGTTTTGGGATTTGTGGCGTTATATAATCTTAGATAGTATATGCAAAGGTCTTCAAAAAGTATAAGACATTGCAAAAATTAAGGTATTAGTAATTTCCAAGTCCAACATCAAATAGAACAAAGTAACCAGATACCCATTTACGAGCATCTAGGAACACTGGGCTACATCTGTGCGTCAGCTTTGTACTTTATATGGTGTAATGGGTAAAGAACAATCTATGTCCACCTACTCCCCCCAAACTGTCTCATTACCTAAAAGGCAATCCTTTCAATTGAAGCACTGTATACCATGAAACTTAAAATGCAAATGCTAAGTAACATTATTAAGATTACTTTATATATTGGCATTGCTTAGATTATCAAATAAGCAAACAGAGAGTTGGGACGCTGAATAAATGAGACCTAGTTAGGGTTGCTATGAGTCGGAATCAACTTGCCAGCAACAGGCTTGGTATTTTTTTGGGGGGGGTTTAGTTAGGTAAATTCTGAGGTAACAGGAAGAGGAAGAAGATTCTGAAGCATTCAATTATTAATTCAAAAAACCTGTGATTGCCTCCTGCGTTCACAGCACCATGACAACCAAGATGAGTAACATAAGGCCCAGTCCCAACGAGCTTACTCGTAATTTTAGTGGGGGAAGACAGACACCTAATAAATAACTACATTGTAAAGTATGAAGTAAAAAATCATTTATTTTATGAGGGTTTTTAAAACGTTTTCAAACAAATAGCTGATGTTCATTGGTTTTCTGAGGAATTTTGGTTATATCAGAAACAGGATGTCTCAAACAAAACATTTACCTTACCATGAATACCAACCTAGCCCAGATAAAGCCTTTTATTCTCTGTGGGGTCAAATTATCTACAATTGCTCTCAGGGAAACCCAGCCACAGTGCTGATACTCGTGCTGCCTTGTTAATCATGAGCTGTCTTCTGTCAGGGCATGCAGGCCTGGGCCAGAGGAGCACCACCCCAGACACCAGACACCGAGTTCCTTCCAACAGGGGTCACTGACTCAACAGTGATCAAAGAAACGAATTCCCTATGACATTCAGTTCAGTGGATGCTTTTGACTTCAGTGTTGTAGGAGTCCGATAAAGAAGAAAAGAGAGAATGCTTACTCTTCTTTGTTTTCCACTAGATATAGCATCATTAGAAGGTGTATTAAAATAAAACAAGCAAAGCAGACAGACTTATGTTAAAATAAAGTAACTTTTTGTTTTGGTATTCTTATCACGATTAAAACAAGACTTTTGGCAACATGAGCTTAGGATGTCATACAGGGCTTTGACGGAAGCAAATGCATTTGAAAAGCTTTTAGGTTTTCTTCTCTTGTGACCAAATTCTGTTACAAACTCTAATGTGCTATAAACTTGATGTAGTAAAGTTTGTGACCAACATCCAAAGTAGTTTGTGAAAGCTAGCCTTCAAAGACCTGGTGGCGCAGTGGTTAAAAACTACAGCTGCTAACCAAAAGGTTGGCAGTTCGAATCCACCACCCGCTCCTTGGAAACCCTATGTGGCAGTTCTACTCTGTCCTATAGGGTTGCTATGAGTTGGAATCGACTTGATGGCAATGTGTTTGGTTTTTGGTTTGGAAGTTAGTCTTACTTTTATGTTTTACGATGTTTTAACATTAAAATCTTTTTTTTTTTTTAAACCTGTGGGAGGGTTTTTCTAACTTCCTAAATTAGGGAGGGACAAAACAAGCAGAGTTTGGTGGTGATGGAACACATTCTGGAGGGAGGTGGAGTGGTGTGGTTCCCTCCCTCTGGCGGCTCCTGCAGGTTTCACTGAAGAGAACCCGGGAGGGGGAGAGAGACGGGCCAGAAGTCCTGCAGTCCTCTGGGGGAGACGACAGTGCAGGCTCCGGGTGCAGGTGGCAGAGGAAGCAATGGATTTGAGGACTTGGGAGGTAAAATTCACAAAGCTTGATGACTAACTGAAGAGATGCCTCGGCCGACCTGAGCTCCCAGCTCCTGGGCAGGGTTGAAACACTTCGATTGAGACGGAGAATCCAGGATAAGGAGCAGGTTTGGAGGATGGAGAGAAAAGAAGTTTCCCTTTGTAGAATGCCCAGCAGTTAGCTATAGCTGGAAGTGCAGCTGATGGTTATAAAAACGAGAGTAAGGAACGGGACAGAGAACACTAAGAGACAAATAGCCAAAACTGGAGAACACCAGCTCTTGTTGGGTGGGCAGGAAAGGGAACCCGCAAAGGAGACTGTGACAGAAATCACAGACTTACAATGAAAACAAACTAAGAAATTACAGGTATCTGATTTTGATGCACTTCTCCAGAATACATCTCTGGGTCTGGCCATTTCTGTAACAATCTCCTTGACTCTATGCAGGTGCTTTACAGCCCAGCCTTTGAGAAACACTGCTTTAAGGACAGGTTTCAAGGAGAGACTGAGTAATCATGTGCAACAGAGACCTAGTAAAACAAGGACTGAAAAGTACCCATTGCATGCAGTGATTAGGTGGTCTCTGGAGACTTTAACAACATTTTCAGTAAAGTCCTGGGGAAGTGATAAGCCAGCATGTCAAAGACACATGGGACAAAGGTATGGAGGCAGAAGAGGGAGAAACGGGTCAAGAGAAAGTTTTTTTAAACATGGAAAACTTTTGGATGTATTTAAAAGCTGAGGGCAAGGAGAGGAAGGATTCGAATAGACAGCGGAAGGGAAAACTGAAGGAGGAAGGGGATTGGGATATAGCATGAGGAACCATTCTTGGACAGACTGGAAGAAAGACGGGTGAGGTTCTAAGTTTGTCTGTGGGTTGAAGGGACAGTAAGAGCAAGAAGGCCCTCAGCATCCAGATACCAAGTGAAAGCCCAGGCTACCTTCTTGATGTTTTGGACAAGGGTGACAGGCTGAAGACAAAATGCCACTTTCTTTAACATGGTGCTCAAGACCAGTCCTGCAAAATGGATAGATCCTAGAAATGACCCAGGTAGACACTAGATCATCAGACAAAAAAATGAACCTAATATTTCTCAAAGCAGGCAGATACCTCCGTCATCTCGTTCCACGACCCTCACTATAGTCTTTTCTTCCACTAACACTTTTCAGCTCTTATGGATCACGTCTCCCTGGAGTTCCTGGTCTCTCACACTTCATGTTGCAACACAACTCTTTTTCCTGGGGTAGAGCTTGGCTGCTAACCAAAAGCTCAGCAGTCTGAATCCATCAGCCATTCCCTGGAAACCCTATACGGCAGCTCTATCGTGTCCTATAGGGTCCCTATGAGTTGGAATCGACTCGATGGCAACGGGTTTAGTTTGGTTTGGTTTATACTAAAACTATGGAAAAGGGTCTACAGGTTCTAACCAAACACCGCCACTTGACTTTTTCCCTGGAAAACATCTTAAACAAATCATGGCGGCTATCTTCTGTAGATAGTCATGATCAAAGTCACAGAAAAGAAGCTAATTTTTTCCATTTCCCTTCTCACCACGTCTTGCCTTCCTTTTGAATGTCTCCTTCCTCATCTTTCCTCCATCCCAAGTCTTTCGCTTTAATACTTTTATTCGCCCAACTGCCTCTCCATTATTTGTGAAATAGGATTACTTCAAAGTATAAAGATTATAAAAATACATAAAAGTTGTATCAAACCAATAAAGGTGACTGTTTTCATCACTAGTTGTTCACTGAAGGAAAAATAAAATTGAAGAAACTTAACGCTGACCAATAAAACTAGGTTGGTGTCTCAATTAGAACTTTTTATAAAACCCTTTCTTTGTTTAGTACCTTAACTGAATTACGTATAAAAGAATAAATACACTATACAAAAACAAAATACACTGTAAGAGATACCTAAAATAAAACTGATAGGAATTTTTCTATCTGAAATCCTCTATGTGAGTGGTTAAAAAGAGCTAGGGCTCCTTACACAATGATATTTTTATGGTTTCACTATTCAAATATGTTGGTCAGTTTTATAAAAAAAAGGATATTAACATAAGATTATTCATCAGCAACATCATATAAGCAACAGTAATTTTAGTTGTAAGTTTTATGACAGTATCTGATTTGCTCTCATAAGCAGCAAGCATTCAGCTCCTAAAATACAAATGAGTATTTTCATAGATATAAGCAGACTAGTATCTCTGGAATCATCCCAAATTTCTATATTCCTCATAAATTAATTTAAATTAGTCCAATGAATGTGAAACAGAAGTACTTATTTCTTAACTCTAGGAAATAAAACTGTGAAATCCAAATTAAGACAATATAATCACAAGGATGAAGACTTGCTAGTATATATAATGTATAGTACATATGAAATGACTTTTTAAAAAATAAAAAATACTGTATTCTGAAAAACAAGACAAAAATATAAAATCCTTAATGACAATGTAGCTAGAAGGCTCGCATTAAGTACTGAACTTACATGATAATTTGGCTAGAATATGCATGATTAAAACTTCTGTTACTGCCTAACAATGAAAATTTTAGAATCGTCACAAAGCCCAGAAGACGGGAATTTCTTTTAGATCAAAACTCAAAAAGTGTTACATTAACAAAATTCAATAAAACCTGATAAAGTAGTATAAATCATTTTAAAATACCCTTGGTAAATAGATTTGTATTTACACAATCTCCTTGAATATATAACAGGTAATGATGCAAGGAAGACATTTTTACAATATTTATTAAGATAACAAATTTATAAATTGAAAGACTCAGAGGCACATAGTTGAAACAGCCAATACCATGGGAATAATGAAGTCAACACAGAAAAGGAAAAGATCTGAACAGCTACAACCATTACAAGATTCTTTTTAAAAGTCACATCCCCCAATGAACACATCATAGGAATCATCCTTCAAAATTACCATGATAAAAAGTTATTTCCTTCAAAGAAAAATAATTCTTTCCACCTACCGAGCCTAGAAAATTCTATTTACAATCAACTGTCCCGCATTTCATCAGTATTGTTTAATATGGCGTCCTCTATTCTGCTATTAGAAGTATTGAAAATTTCTTAGCTATTTACAAATGCACATAATATTTAAATTTGCTCTTCACTGAGAACAACCAAAGTATACTTAATCAAATCACAACACAAATGTTTTAGTGTTGAAAACATATTTTGTGGGAACAGGTATAGGGTAGACATGTATTTAGAATTATGTTGCTTCTGATGAAATACTAGGCCAATAAGTCTGATAAAACTCAAGGTAGTCACAAAAACAGGTCTTTGTTGATGAAGAATTTAATTTATTTCTGTTTGAACTGGACACACTGGGCTTCTTCAGTCTACCTTCACCACACTGTATATTTTGGTAACAAACCAAAAGCATGCAAAGAAGCCAATTGTTCCTATAAAAGAAAAAACAAAAATAATTAAATTGGATATTTTCTAAGTATAGTTATCGGGAGTTTTTAGTTTTCAAAGAAGTATAATAAAATAAAACAACTAAACATACTTTACAAAATGTTAAGAGTTATATAATTAGGGGAATAACAAAGACACTCCGCAGCTAAACATGAGTGGCTGCATGGTACCAGAGAGGAGAGCACCAGCTCTATTAGAGATTCAGCTCTGTCATCTCCAAGCCCGTTCCTTTATCACGTTAAACAGAGAAACTTATTTGCCCTAGCTACCTCCATAGACTGTCATCTAGAGTAAATGAGGTAATTCATGAACAAATGAATGCCTCGATTTTCAGGTAACTTCACCCATCTAAGGAGCTCTGGTGGTGCAGTGGTTAAAAGCTGTGGCTGCTAACCGAAAGGCTGGCAGTTTGAATCCACCAGCTGCTCCTTGGAAACCCTACAGGGCAGTTCTACTCTGTCCTATAGGGTTGCTATGAGTTGGAATCGACTTGACAGCAATGGGTTTGGTCTTTTTGGTTTTCACCAGTCTAAATTCCAAAGAATTTTAATGCTAGACAGGAAAATACCTTTTTTTTTTTTTTTTTTTTTTTTTACCCCAGTATGAATACCTTTATATAACTGGGAGAAAATATGCTATGTATTTTAAAGATAAATCCATTAAGGAAGGTGATAAACCCACTGCCGTTGACTGAGTCGATTCCAACTCATAGTGACCCTACAGGACAGAGAAGAACTGCCCCATTGGGTTTCCAAGGAGATAGTTTAAAAAAAAAACAAAAAGATTTTCATAACTAATTAATTATTCCATTCACATTAAAATACTCATCAAAGAAGATTTTTTATTTTATGTACAAAGAGTTTGCACTGTTGGTTTTGTTGGGTAGATGTCTTGGATAATCCAACAAGGAAGATGATTTAGTCCAACCTGATGAAGCCTATATCCTTGAGTACTGACAGAAACACTGGCGGCACACTGGAGGCTGTATTTCCGGATCAGGCTGGATGGAGTTGGAGTGCATGGAGCAGGAGTGGGAACCCTGGCTGAATTTTCACGGGTGGTTCCAGCAGAGCTGCTGGTGACCCATCTTGCTTTGCTGGATGCACCAAGGCCAAAGGGAGGGACACACTTTTAATGTGGCTGGTAAGTGAACTTGGTGAGAACTCAAGTTCATTTTTTCTCTGATTTCAATTGTAGTCTTTTATATTATACTATGCTCAGGTTTACTAAACACAGATTCAAAGACACGGTTTTGCAAAGGATACATACTAAATTGTGAAATCACCTAACATATTTAAAAAATAAACTAAGGTACACCATTTTTTCCAGGATTATCTCTTGGGAAATATTCAGAAGGTGGGGATGTAGAATACATAAGGTGATACAATATACCCTGTGTAATTTTTATATTTAAAGTCCCAATGGTTTTCTCAATTATTTTAAACGTAATATAGAGAAAAAGCATTAAAGGAGATTTTCTGTTATCAAGAGATTAGATGTGGGACATGACTATGGGGAGTCATGAACTCTGTCATTATACTCATTCATGTATCGTGTATGTACGGAGTACCTACAACCTGCAAGGCACTGTGTTTTAAAAGAGTGCAGATGGATACTCATTTTGGCTATTTGAGATGCTTATTATGGACTGGGAAACTAATAGTGGCAACATAAATATATTTAAATAACCTTGTGCTTAGCCAGAATTTCAAAATGATGGAAGAAGATATTTTAAGATGAGAAAAACATTTTATCACCATCCTGGCAACGCTAAGAAAGTTAATTGCTTTATTTTATTCTTATTATGGGGCAGATACAGTGTACAGAGAGCCCTGGTGGCAAAGTGGTTAAGAGCTTGGCTGCTAACCCAAAAGGTCGGCAGTTTGAATCCAGCAGCTGCTCCCTGGAAGCCCTACGGGGCAGTTTTACTCTGTCCTACAGGGTCACTATGAGTTGGAATCAACTCCATGGCAATGGGCTTGGTGTTAGTGTTTGGATAATGTACATACAAGATGGCATCTTTCCTTATGTGACAGAATAATTACATTTGTTTTGTAAACTGGTCTGACTTAAACAAACTGGAGTCAGTCTGGAGCGTTTCGAAGCAAATACAGACATACCCTACTTTAGAAAAATGCAATAATTTAAAGGGTTCACCACTCCCTTATGTAGAACCTCTTTCTTTAAGTGAAATATGCTACAATTTATTAGCTTGACTGGCTGATTTAATTTGATGTGGCTGCAGAATTTAGCTTACAAAATTTGTCTTACTCTGAATGAGTGAAAATACGTCACTTTAAAAAGTCAGGAACAATAAACTTTGGGTTGTGCCTGAACTGTCATTTTCTTTATCCATGCTTGGTAGAGTACAGGGTCAGTGAAAAAGAGAAACACCCTCAACAAGATGGATTGACACAGTGGCTGCAACAACGGGCTCAAGCATAACAAGGGTTGTAAGGATGGCCCAGGACCAGGCAATGTTTCGTTCTGTTGTACACAGGGTCGCTGTGAGTCGGAACTGACTTGACAGCATCTAACAACAACATGCCTGGGCAAACAACAGATATTCACTAAGATCATTGTTTTTTTGTGCATAGGCCTGGAATAAATGATTCCATATATGCATTTATGGACACACAAATACAGATGCACAAAGACAGTAGTAATTCCTTGTTTCACAGGCCACTGCTGTTTTACAGACCATTTATTAAGATCTACGGCTGTGGATTCCAATAATTCTATCATATAGAACCAACATACACAGTCCTCCCACCACGATGTCTCATCAAGGATCTGGCTGTCAGCGCCTGAAGCCAGCCACGCACTGATACAGCAGCAGGGGCACATGGGAACACTACCTGATGCTCTTGAATGTTAACAGACGAGTAAAAAGTACAACAGTTCTAATTAAAAAAAAAAAAAAAAGAATTGGTCTTTTCTTTTTGCTTCTGTATTTCCTTGCATAGCATTCAAGACACTCTCAGATAAAGTTTTAGGTGTACGTGTAACGTAGTATCACTCTTTGTGACCAAAGAGAAGTCCCGGTTTCCTCATTTTCACTCAGTCACTCACTCCGTGACTGTTCACCAAGCACCCACAAGGCTCTGAGATACAGAAAGCTTTTCTCCAGTTGGATGGAGGAGAGATACATAAACAACATAAATATCAATACAATACCTGCTGTGTCCCATTAGGCACCTGGATTTTAAAGTGGAGCTAAAACTTGCCAGAACAGGGAGTGCCCTATTATCATCTTGTCTTATTCTCAACCTCTTCTTGACTTTGGCTCTTTCTGATTTTCTACTTCCTTCCAAACTTAGGTAGCTGTAGCTTTTTACCCCGTTTCTGAAGTGGGCAAAAGAAAGACCGTGTGGACCATTAAGAGGTTAACAGAAGAAACTTAGAGATTTACTGACCCAGGGCCTCCTATGCCTTTAGCACAACAGGGAGCCCTGTTTCGCCTTTTTCCTTTAGGTTCTGTTTCATCACCTTCAGTTTACT